GTAATTTACAGGAAACTGTAAATTTCATTTCTTCGACGACACTAGATCAAGGTGTCAATAATTTATCGTGAAGGTATATTAAAAGGCAAAATTCCAAAGGAATTAGTCCTTTATAACTATATGATCATTTATCTTAGCTATTATTTTTAACTTCTTTATAAAAGAGGGAAGAGAGATTATACAAAATTAAAATGAGAGGTAGGTTATACCTGTTCCATTTAACGTGGTCTTCAAGAAATTAACCAACAGAAATGTTTACTGAATCCAAGGATATTTATTTGAATATATATTTAGGATAATTATTAGGATATTTATTTATTTGAAAAGGGGAACTTTAGAAATTAATTTAATTTTTTATATATTTTAAGAAATGTTAAAATATGTTGTTAAAAAATCCGGTGATGTCATTCAATAGTGGCTTTTTAGTATTTTCTTTATTGGAATGTATAAAGAACTCTTCAGATAGGTCAAGTTCCATGGGTTTGTTGACATGTTTTAGTAATCTTATGTTTCTAATATATGTCTGCAGAGTGCTCGTGTTCTTTTAGGTGTTTTCAGAAAACGGAGGAATCCTTAGTAAGATGATCTCGTGCTCGGACTCTCAGATTCCTGTCCGTCTGACCTATATACATCCACCCACAATCTTTACAAGACATCTCATGCACTCCACTTAATTCTAAAAAATTAAATCTCGGTTTATTATACATAAGTTGACCTGAGACTTTTTTACCTGATTTCAACGCAGGCGTTATGTTGTATTTTTTCAAATTGTTCTTGAATTTAGGTTCTAGTAATGGATTTTATGGTATGGTCAGATATTGAGTTTTGGACTTTACGTTGGGGTATATAAGTTAATTCAAGTTTTTCGGTTGCAGTCGTGCCTGAGGACGATTTTGCTGATTTCACGAAATAACATAATTAATCTAAACAACCTGACGTTTATTTTATTTAATTCCTAGAGTGGAGTTCGGAAAGAAGAGTTGAGAACTGAGACTCTCGGTCAAGAGAAGCCCGTTAATTGAGATTTAAAACCCTTTGTATGTACTTTTAATTGCCGATTGTACTAATACGTTCTATTTACGCTTACGTTCTATTTATTTGGTATGTGTTATTTGTATTTGTGTGATATTATTGACAATTAAATTAATGATTAATAATTAATTTTTTCATTTTATATTTATTTTGCAAAATTTAATGTACGTGCTAATTACAATTTGTTGAGTATGCATTGCACACCCAGACGTCAATGTAAGAGCCACTCTGTTAATAAAACTATTAAATGAAAAATTCGTTTTTTCTTTCTACCATCCAATGTTATAGAAAGGAGTAAATTCTCCTCTTCTTTTTGTTTCCGTGCGTGAAGTAACCACAATTCAATATAATAAATTTACATTCAGTAAATCTATTTATCAATTAGTTTTAGCCCAATTTAACGCAAAATTAAAGGAAATCAAAGCACCAACTGTTTACAAACATGCGATATTTATCAATAGCATAGTTTGTAAGGCGTTATCGCCTATCCATACAGAAGCGAAGCGAGCGACGTTGCGAAATCGTTGGTCGAAACAAAAGACCATGGAGGAAAACGTCAAGGTTAGTATATAAGAGGTTGTCTAAGTTTATACGCATCCATACTGCGCATTACGTCAATGGCGACAAATAATACCAGGAAATAATTCAAATTACTAAAACTTTCATTACTTAACTTAATTAACGTTTTACTTTAATATATTTAGTGTAGTATCTAATTAGCTGCGGTAGTAAAACAGAAAATAATTCAACTTAATTTTTAATGTAAATTCACTTATCATAAAATAATTGAAGGAAGCTAGAGTAGTAATAGATTTATGTTATACTAGATAAGACACTTAAACTGTCACTAAACATGACATTGGGGTGCGCGCGCAATCCGTCGCCACTTACGTCATGAAACACTTCCACTCTTGCCTCTCGCACACAAACTAAAATCAAAGAATTACAATCATCGAGATACATATACTTTACTGGAGTGCGTGCTCACGATATTCGCTTGGTCGAGAAAACGGTCCGGCTCGCCAGCATGTTCCCCCACTCTATAACGGCAAGAAATACAAATAGTACTAACTAATGGATATGATTCTGCATGAATTTATTCAATATTTACTAAATAATTCAAATAATGTTATTCAATAATGATGAAAAATACCAAATAATATATATTTAAGTTATTATAGTTTAGGAAATAAATAAAAAATACTTCAAAGCTTGTTTTTCTTTGGATTATTAATTAGAAATATAACATAGATATATTTAAATTATACATTATTAAATAATATTAATTTAGTTAGTTTTTGGCGAACAGAAGAATTATTCTTTAGAACATTTTGTAAATTAAATTGTTTTCCATAATGATTAGCTCTTATGTTTATAAAATGTTGGGCTATTAAATGGAACAAAGTATATTCATGCGATGGTGTTCCGAATTCAACATTTATCGGATGCATGTTCGGGAAGAAAAATAATGAATGCTTATCACAAATATTTTCTTTGGCGCATTTAATACTTTTGATTCGTACATCCCGACGTTTTACTTGTTGCTGCAAGATCTTAATTTTTCGTCTCAATTTTATCTTAGTTGGTGACTGAATAATACACTGAATACCCACATCACATTGCATTGCATTCTGAAAAATATTTTATAATTTTGTGATCTCTTCGATAATAGATAATAAAGTTTTACCTGTTCAGATATCTCAGATAAGTCGGGTGTAGTACTTGTACTTGGCATGTTCTCAATATCATCAGCCTATAAAGATTAAAACAAAACTAATTCATATTTTAATTTTCAACATATTTTTAATATAAATGGTATTTACCTTTTTCTCTTTCTCAATTACTCTAGACAATAAACGTCTTTTGGATGGAGGAGGTTTTTGAAGGTGATTTGGAAATCCTTTAAACACTGAAGGAAATGCATCTTCTTTTAGCCATCCCTTGCTGGCACCTGGTCGTATTTGATAATCTGTTGGCTTAAAATTTTTCCTGCGTACTTCCTTTATCCATTTTTTTAAAACTCCAGGCTTATTTAATGGAAATCTGGAACATTTATACATATATTATAATATTACCACAAACCTGAATCTAAAAATTGAAATTGTAAACCACTTCCTGTTGATTGTCTATTTGTACATCCGTATGCAGAACAAGAATTTACCATCTTTATAGATTTATATAATACACTAATTTAAACACAATATTAAAAAGTTTATAAAAAAATGTATTTAATGCAATCTTTATTCACTTAAACAACACGTTAACACCTATATGTTACATACGGAACTGAAGCTTCTTGCCGCTATAGGGTGGGGGAAGTCGTCGAGTCGACCGGCTCGTTTTTTAGTCCAAAGCACGCACTCCAGTAAATATAGTATATCTCGATGATTACAATATAGGAACCTAGACAACCTCTTATACAGGTGTCTCACGTAACTTTTCTAGGTTCCCCTATTCGTATAGTTTTTTTCTTAATTTTGGTAGCCTGGGTTGATCATTGGGAACTTTCGATCTAAAATATTTTTAAGATGTCTACCACTTCCGGTCTACCGGAAGTAGATCATAACTTCGTTATTTTAAATGGAATGCTATAGTTTTTATTACACCTTTTAATTGCACGTAAAAAAATATGTTGACTTTGATAAAACTTATTGGTACTGTAATGTTTTAGTCAACTTGTTAAATTGATAAGGAAACATGGTTATAATTAACAAAAAAAATATTAACTTTATTATTAACTAAACATTTGAATACTCATATCCTAGGTTTTTTTTTTAATAAAAACGGCAATAATAATAATATAGCGAGTTCAGTTCCAAAAAAAGGAAATTAATTTTACAGGTTTCTATGGTTATCCTGCATTGAACCGTGATGAAACTGTCATGGTGTGGGGGAACTCAGCGGTCGTGTCTGTGTGTGTGGCCGTGCAAAATAGACATCGCTCTACCATTAGTTAAGTTTGTGGCCACTAGATGGCATAATTATGAAGCGGAATTGAAAAATACATGTTTTTCTTTTTTTTTACTTTTAAATCAAGTTTGCTCGCGGGGCTTTTTAAAGCGGAGAATAAATTAAATATTAAACAATCAATAAAAATGCATACTTCTGATAGGTAATTTAAACGTAACACTAAAAATAACAGTAACACTCAATAAACAGCAACAAAATGAAAAAAGAAAACAATACTTATAATAATACTATAAAGAATCAGTTAATAAACTAGGAACACGGGAGAGAACACTCCTTACAGCACTATGAAATATATAAAAAATAGAAAAAGTAAAAACTTTTCGTGAGAAATAATTAAATATTAAAATTTTAATTTATTAAAGAGCAGACATGTTTCGAAACGATTGTTTCATCTTCAGTACTATAAGTATCTATAAGTTTACTAACATAAGTTTATTTCCAACATTTCTAAAATTTTTTATTTTTAACAAAAAGAAAACCTATATAGAAATAATTTTATTTTTAAGAAAATTTGCTAAAATTTACTAAGATATTCCCAATATATTTATATTTTTGTATTTTTCCATCATTTTGCATATATTTTAAAGTACTGAAGATGAAACAATCGTTTCGAAACATGTCTGCTCTTTAATAATAAATTTTAATATTTAATTATTTCTCACAAAAAGTTTTTACTTTTTCTATTTTTTATATACATATTTTATTGAGAAATATCCAGAATTTCATCCCTTCACTATGAAATAGTCTTATTGGATGTTTTTATTTTATCTTATTTAAATATGACAACATATTATATTTTAAAAGTAGATTAAACACGGCTAAATAAATTAAAAAAAATATATTTGTTAATTTTTTAATTTATAAAATAACTCAAACAACCATGTGTTTTCTCAATAAAAAGGACACATTTGACAATCAACTTTATGCAACCTCTAATTTTTGAAATACAATATTTCAACGTTACATTTTTTGTATGACGTTTCGGAAATTTATTCCATTTTCAAATACAATTCGCAATACATATACAGTGTCCGTCAAAAAGTCAGCAACACCCGTTTTATTTCTGTTCCATTGCATCAACGTTTCTGACATTTAGTTTATATGGGAGGTTCATACCGATCTTTCGATCTAAAGTATTTTCAAGATGGTGGCCATTTCCGGTTCTCCGGAAGTAGACCTCAACTAGGTTATTTTAAATGAAATGCTATAGTTTTTATTGCACCGTTTAATTGTATGCGAAAAAATATGTAGACTTTGATAAAAGTTACTGGTACCTAGCATTTTTTGTTTTCGAGTTATTTTGATTTTAAGTTTTTGTTTCTTAAATTTCACCATGCTTTTAAAACCCCATATCTCAGCCAATATTTATTCAAGAAAGCTCTAAGTTGGTGAGATTACTCTTCAAATCAAATGATATCAAATGGATTGTCACTTGTTGTATCAGAGTATCTTATACAGAGTGGTCAAAAATAGAATTGTCGTTTCTCCATATTCACTGGCAAGAAAGCTGAAAATTTTATATGGTACGCCCCATATTTTTTTAACCTACCAGTGAGAGAATGAAATTTTTTATCCAAACCTAATTTTTGTTTTCATTGATTCATTTATTTGTTCTTCTATTTGTTATTTTTAGTAAATAAAAGATAATTAACTAAAAGATTATCAATCAAAGTTACTTGTAAAAATAAATTAAACGAAAAAATGTCAAAATATCATGTCCTAATAAAAATATAACCGGTTTCTGGTATTTTCCGGCAAATTCCCTTTCTGATGAGCTAATCAAATATGAGGCTTACCATTTAAAATTTTCACTTTCTTGCCATTGAATTCGGAAAAAGGTAATTCACTTTTTGACCATACTGTACAAGATACTGTGATATAACAAATAATAATCTATTTTACATCATTTGAAGAGTAATCGTGCCAATTTAGAGCTTTTTTGAATGAACGTTTGCTGAGATATGAAGTTTTAAAGAGCACGGTGAAAATTGCCAAGAAAAATTTAAAATCAAAATAACTCCAAAACGAAAAGCGCTAGGTACTAATAAGTTTTATCAAAGTCAACTTATTTTTGCGCATATAATTAAAAGGTGCAATAAAAACTACAGCATTCCATTTAAAATAACGAAGTTGTGGTCTACTTCTGGGGTACCGGAAGTGGCAACCATCTTGAAAGTACCTTAGATTGAAAGGTCGGTATGAACACCCCACATAAACAAAATTTCAGAAATGTAGATGCAATGGAAAATTATTAGACTATCTTAACGTAATAACTTACCAAAACTTTAATCGTCATTAGTAATATTTAAACATCACAGTCATAAAACAATTAAAACCAATTACAATTCGGTAAACCGATATTTGTCAAAAACTACGCCCACGGTTACATCAAGAGCACGATTTTCTATCTCATAAAACTAGTTTTTTCCGAAACGTCATACAAAAAATGTAACGTTGAAATATTGTATTTCAAAGATTGAGATTGAAAAGAGGTTGAATAAAGTTGGTTGTCAAATGTGTCCTTTTTATTGAGAAAAACACATGGTTGTTTGATTTATTTTATAAATTAAAAAATTAATATAGAAGAATACCTGTTCATGCAAGAACGCATTTCGAAACCCCAAACGCGCATGATCCGCTCGGGGGTGTGCGCCCTCTAACGTTCTCCCACGTTCTCCTTCCCCTTGATTTATTATCGATGCATTATCGGCATTGATCGGCATTATTTCAATTGTAAAAAGGTAGTAGTGAGTGAGAATATACATATGCGTAAGACAATTTTATCTCTTTTATTTCGTATTTCTTAACAAAATTGAAATCAGCACCTCTTCTTAATTACCGAGCTTATTGCTGCGCGTACATTTATGATCCTTCGAGCCGGATTCGGCATTTTGGTTACCGGTTTTTGGGCAAATTTAATGCCTTCTCTGTCAATCGCCATTTTTCCTCACGCCTATCTTCACGTTTTTCGTTTTACAAATCTGAGTTTTTCATCGTCATCTCAGCAATTAAACCCAACAACTATTGCGTTTAAAGCTGAAAATAATAAAACAATTATTATTATCAATATATTTCTCTTGTTTAAAGAAAACCTTTTTGACGTTGCGCGTTGTCAATCCTTCTTTCGGAATATCTACTTTATTCTTTATCAGATTTTAAATTTTCCCTTTAGAATCTATTCCCCTTGGAATAATTTTGATTTCTTTTACTTCCACATTTTCTGGAATATTTTTCATTTGATTTTTTCTTAATTCTCCCTTGAGAATCTATTCCCCTTGGAATAATTTTGATTTTTCTTACTTTGCACATTTTTGGAATATCTTTCTTTTAGTTTTTCTTCATTCTCCCTTAAGAGAATTCATTCCCCCTGGAATTTCATTATTTTTTTTATTTTTTTTTCTGGGAATTTATTGCCCTTGCAACTTAAATTCTTACCTCAATATTCTTACAATAGAATATATTGTAATTTTCATTTTGATTTTCCCTTTATGGTGTTTCCCCTTGGCTACCTCAATTATCCCCATTCATATTAACTTTCCTAAGTCTCCCTTGAGATGGAAAAGCTTACAAAATTAAAGTTACGACGAAATGTTCTCCAAAATCGTCTTACCGAGGCTGGAGACAGTGGTCAAACTGCTTCCGATGATTCCTCTCTACAACTCATCATTCTTGAACAAGACAAACGTGCTGATGAAGCTTACGACGAATTTAAAACCATACACAATCAAATTATAGGACTTATTGAAGAAACGGACTTTGATGATCAAGATAAAATTCGCAAAGATGTTGATACGGCCCATTTTACTATAAAGGCTCTCTTTCACAAAATGCAACAACCCGATGCTTCCGATTCTGTTCCAGCTCCGTCTACGCCTAAATTAAATAAAATTGTCATTCCGACTTTCGATGGAAATTATAAAAACTGGCCGACATTTTTTGATTTATTTAGAACGTTAATTCATGAAAACGATTCCTTGTCACCAGTGGCAAAGTATCAATATTTGCTTACTTCCTTGAAAGGAGAAGCGTTTAATTTGTTAAAGGGCCTTCCCGTCACAAATGAAAACTATTCCATTGCCTATACCACCTTAAAA